CTGCCAGCTTGGGCCTGATCCCCCAGGGAGCGGGCCTAAGCCAGCAGGTGGACATCCCCCAAGGGTCCCAGACTGCGAGAGGGCACAGGCCGGGCTGAGGGGACCTCCCCCCCGAGTGCACAAATTTTTGTGCACCGAGCCTCTAGTATAATACCTCCTACTGGGGGATATGCCCACAACCAAGGTACATGCCCTTGACCAGAATTGAACCTGGGATCTTTCAGTCAGTCCACAGGCCGATGCTCTATCCACTCAGCCAAACCTGTTAGGGCTGCAGCCAGTACTCTTAACTATTGGCCTCATTCACTGGCAGGCCAGCTGGAACTCTTTTTTAAAAAAAATATATTTGTATTGATTTCAAAGAGGAAGAGAGAAAGAAACATCAATGGTGACAGAGAATCATTGATCGGCTGCCTCCTGCACACCCCCCACTGGGGATCAAGCCCACAACCTTGGCATGTGCCCTTGACTAGAATGGAACCCGGACCCTTCAGTCTGCAGGCTGACGCTCTTCACTGAGCCAAACCAGCTAGGGCCCAAGAAATCTTTTGAAACCCAAAGATTTGTTGCCCTTGCTCTAGAAGAGATTTGAGGAAAGATAATTTTTATTTAGTACTCTACATCAATTTTAGAAAAATAATGCACTATATTTTGCCAACACATGGTGAATAGAGGGTAATGGAGGAGAATGGTGGATTTGGCACCAGAGACCTGAATTCAAGCACCCGTTCTGGCCTGGCCAGTATGGCTCAGTTGTTGAGTGTCAACCTATGAACCAGGAGGTGACAGTTTAGGAGGCAGCCCATCGATGATTTTCTCTCATCATTGATGTTTCTCTCTCTCTCTCTCTCTCTCTCTCTCTCTCTCTCTCTCTCTGAAATAAATAAAAACATTAAAAAAAAAAAAAAAAGCGAGTTCTGCTATTTCTTAGCTGTTTGGCCAGGGCAAGTTGTTTAATCACTTTAAGCCTTTTCCAAAAATACTTGCTGTAATAGAATTGTTTTTGAGGATTCAATGAGTAATGTATGTAAAGTACTTTAGCATAATGCCTGGCATATGGTTATTATTCAGTAATTAGATACTCTCATTGTTAGCCTTGCAGAAAAGAGTTTGTCAAGACCCAAAAGATCTGTAGTTTCCTGGGTCGTTTTTAATGAATCAGATTATATTGTTGTTAGTGGCTTCATTTTATCAAAACTGAATTTATTGAATATAACCATATCTTTAAAATAAGCATAAATGCATTTAAATTGCACTTCTGTTTGCAGGTATCTGTGTTTTGTTTTGTTTTGTTTTGTTTTGTTTTAATAGGGGCGGATGATCAGATTGACTGGATTCATGGTTAAGTGTAAAGAGCCCGATTTAACCAGAGAATTATTTTAGGATGATCTAAATATAGCTAGGAGCACTATACAAAAAAAATTAGGAAATTTTAATTTTGGTTTTGAATCATTGTTTAAGATTAATTTTATTATTGTTGTTTTTTAATTTTTATTATTATCTCAGTGATAGATTGGGCAAGCTACCATTATCACCTAAACAAAAAGCTATGTTTTCCAAATGGGTACGCCCAGAAGACCTCAGCAACAATCCTACAATGATTTATACTGTGTCCAGTTTCAGCATAAAACAGGTATATGTTTTGTATAATTTTATATGAAAGCTAGCATTTTAAAGTAATTTGGATATAGATTTGACTTTTTTCTTAAGTTTTTATTACATATTCAGATGCATGAGTATATTTGGAAAAATTATTCTGCACACTTTGATTTAGACATACTGAGATAATAAAAGTGTGAATAACTATTTTGAGCAGTCACAGAGTTTTATATAGACCCTATTTATGGACACATGCTTGCAGATGAGAAAGTTGAGAAAATGAATTTTACCGTTGATAAGATAATAGAAAAGATAGAAATTGGGCTTATTTAAAACACTTTAATATTGAAACAACAATATGGCTTTATTGCAAACTTTAAGTTTTGCAATGAAATCACAGGCGTCTTCCACATTAGTATAAAATAATGATCCTGAAATACTATGATTCAAGAATCTTTTATATACATACTAGAGGTCCGGTGCACGAAATTCGTGCATGGGTAGGGTCCCTAGGCCTGACTGGCAATCAGGGCCAATCAGGGCCTTCCTTCGTTCTGCGCTGCCCGCTGGTGGTCAGTGCATGTCATAGCAAACAATCAAACTCCCGAGGGGACAATTCGCACATTAGCCTTTTATTATATAGGATTCATCTTTAGAGATCATAAACCAACTTTTTAAATGCCTTTAATTTTTTGTCCACATCAAAAGTATGATTCACTTGGTAAAAATGGTAAAGGGATTAAGAAAACACACACACACAACACAACAGACATAGACAACAGTATGGTGATTACGAGAGGGAAAGGGGATTGGGGAAAGTTGGAGAGAGTAAAGGGGGTATAGATGGTGATGGAAGGAGACTTAGCTTGGGGTATTGAACACACAATACAATATACAGGTGATGTATTGCAGAATTGTACCCCTGAAATCTATATAATTTTATTAACCAGTGTCACCCCAATACAATTTAAAAATAAAGTAACATTGTAGAAAGAAAAACAGTGGGCATGCCTTTATTTATGCAAGGAATGCATCATCCATATTTAATTATTCTAAATTCATTGAAATAGTTTATTTGGTTTTTCAAGGATTTATTTGAACAAAATTTGAGTTGGCAGTATGGCATTTCTATTTATTTCCTACTCAAGCAGTAAAGATATTTAGTATAAAAAGTCAGGTGCTAGATGCAATGCTTAAATATTGTGGAAATGTTGATACATGAATGAATGAAATATACTAATTCTTCTTAACAGACAATAGTATCAGATTGTTCCTTTGTCGCATCACTGGCTATTAGTGCAGCTTATGAAAGACGATTTAATAAGAAGTTGATTACCAGGTAAAAATTTATATTTGTTCCTTTAGCCCTTTTCATGTAATTGTCTTAAATAGAAATTTAAAGCGTAGACCTTTTTGGCTTAGAAAGTAAAGAGAGTGTATCACTCAGAATATTATGGCCTTTATGTATTAAGCAGATGATTTGTGAATGTGAACAAGTTTGCTAAAACAGTATAAGAATGTATGTGCCTGTAGTTAATATATGAAGAATAAATATGTCTTGAAATAAATGAAATTGATCAAAGTAAAATTAAGTCATGTTTATAATTTCACTCGCAGTCCAGGTCCCTCAGCCCGGATTGCATGAGGGCACAGGCCAGGCTGAGGGACTCCACTGGTGCATGATCAGGGCCAGAGAGGGATGCGGGAGGTTGGCCAGCTGGGGAGGGACAGCAGGAGGGCTCCAGGGCGTGTCCGGCCCATCTCGTCTAGCTCAGTCCCGATCAGCTGGACCCCAGCAGCAAGCTAACCTACCGGTTGAAGCATCTGCCCCCCTGGTGGTCAGTGTACATCATAACGACTGGTCAGCCAGTCGACTGTCTGCCCCCTAGTGGTCAGTGCACGTCATAGTAAGCAGTTGAGCAGCCTTAGCATATACTTAGCATATTACACTTTGATTAGTTGAATGGATGACCGGATACTTAGTATGTTAGGCTTTTTTTATATAGGGTTGTACTGTATGATAGCCACTAGCCACATGTGGATATTGAATACTTAAAATAGCTAGTCTGAATTGAGATGGGCTGTGAATGTACAGTAAAATGAATCAGATTTTGAAAACTTAGCACACAAAAATATATGAAATAGGCAAAATATTTTAAATTTTTATATTGTAAAATTATAATATTTTGGAGATGTTAAGTGAAATAAATTAAAATTACTCTTTAACATTTAATATAAAATATATGTAATATGAAATAACATTTCTTTTGATTGGAACAGCTTTAGAATGTACAGAAATGTTACTGAAATTGTGGGGGGGTATTTTTTTAAGTTTTATTTGCTTAAAATTATTTATTATAAAAATTAAACTTCAGAATTTTTTCAATACAACTTTTCCTAAGTGGTTTTTGTGTGTTAAATCCTGAAAGTATAAAGGTGAATTAAATACAGACTTTAGTTTCAAGCTATTTGCCATCTTGGATAAACATCATACATATAAATAATGTGTGAAAGAAAATTGATACTGATTGTTTTTACAAGTATCTTACTGGATAATTTTGTATAACTTTTATCAGTGTTGTTTTAATTTTATCTCTGTCAGAGTTGTAGTTTGTTGCCTTAGTTGTGGTTAATTGAAATGCTCTTTACTTCTTGGGGTCAATAGTAGATTATTTTATTTGGCTTAAAATATGTCCTCTTAATAGAAAATTTATTAGAGTATATAATTTAACACTGAGCATTTTCATGAATATTTTGAAATTTATGCCCTGCTGTATGATCTCATAATATACTTTATTCATTTATTTACATTAAAAAAAGCACTTTGATTAGGGTGAACTTTTTTTCTAGGCCTACTATAGAAAAATATTCTCATGTTTATTTTTATCAAATTGCCAAGATAGTAGTAGCACATGTCTATAATATTCTGCATAGTAGTTACGTTGAATATTAATGTTGGTATTTCAATATTTATTTTCTTTACAAAAGCATAATTTACCCTCAGAATAAGGATGGTGAGCCAGAGTATAATCCATGTGGAAAGTATATGGTAAAACTTCACCTCAATGGTGTCCCAAGAAAGGTGAATAATGTGTCTGTCCACTCCTATGTCTTCTCTTCTCTTCTCCTCTCTCTCTCTCTTTCTCTTTCTCTCTCTCTCTCTCTCTCCCCCTCCCTCCCTCTCCCTCTCCTTCTCCCTCCCCCTTCCCTACCTTTAAATATTGAATAGGATCATTAAGAAATATTACTTATATAAACATTTTAAAAACATGTAAGCATTTTAACATTTCATTGACTTTGAATCTGATATGCATACTGCTATCAGTAACAAATGTTAATAATTAAAAAAAAATAAAAATCATGACAAGAATAAAGTTGGGTTTTTTTTAATGGTTTTGGGAAATTTATAGAAAGTTCCAAAAAGTAATTATTTTAGATACAGTGTACATTTCTAGAATCCCTAATAATTTTGATGGTAGATTCATAGTATTTAGCATCTAATTAGCTAAAGGTTATTATCTCACAGGGAGATTAATGTGAACTTGAATTAAAACATCATATAACATTTTTATTTATTTTTTTAAATATATTTCTTTATTGATTTCAGAGAGGAAGGGAGGAGAGAGATAGAAACATCAATGATGAGAGAGAATCATTGATTGGCTGCCTCCTGTACGCCCCCCACTGGGGATCAAGCCTGCAACCCAGGCATGTGCCCTTGGCCAGAATCGAACCTGGGACCCTTCAATCCGCAGGCTGATGCTCTATCCCAGCCGTGGGCAAACTACAGCCCGCGGGCTGGATCCGGCCCGTTTGAAATGAATAAAACTAAAAAAAAAAAAAAAAAGACCGTACCCTTTTATGTAATGATGTTTACTTTGAATTTATATTAGTTCACACAAACACTCCATCCATGCTTTTGTTCCGGCCCTCCGGTCCAGTTTAAGAACCCATTGTGGCCCTCGAGTCAAAAGTTTGCCCACCCCTGCTCTATCCACTGAGCCAAGCCGGGCAGGGCCGTATAACATTTTTAAATTGATCAGATTCTAGAAATAGGAAACTGTCATTACCTTTAATAATAGGTATACCATGCTTTTTACTTTATCAGTATGAAAGCTGCTTTTTTTTTAATAGAAAAGATTTTAAGATACTTTATACCAACTAAGGAAAGTACTGTTATCTTTCCCCAGGTGATAATTGATGACCAATTACCTGTTGATCATAAGGGAGAATTGCTCTGTTCTTATTCTAACAACAAAAGTGAATTATGGGTTTCTCTCATTGAAAAAGCATATATGAAAGTCATGGGAGGATATGATTTCCCAGGATCCAATTCAGTAAGTAATATGATGATCCAAATACAGACTTACATTATCTTATATGACTATTTTAAATTTGAATGATTATAGATGCTATGTTGTTTAAAGGAAGTGAAAACAGATAACCTCTGAATCATGTTGATCAGTCACTTTACTATGGGAGTATCTGTTTTCTTTTATAAGGTTAACACATTGTACAGTAAGTCCCCACTTAATGTCTTACATAGGTTCTACAACTTTAAGCAAAATGACATATAACAATACCCATTTTACTATAGTCTAATTTATATAAACGAGAAGTTCCTACAGCATCTCATCAACAGTATAATAAAATGGTATTCAAGGGACTGCTGAATAGATTCAATGTTTAGGAAAGCCTAAAATGTAGGTGTCTGCTATTATGTTGGGATCTAGGAGCAATTTAATACAGTGTACATTTCCAAAAAGCCTCTTCAGATCAAAGGAGTGTGTCATATTGTCATGGTTCTATATATTTTTGTGATTTGTAAACTCAGATTCAGGGAGTTTTTGTTTGTTAGTTTTTCCCAACCTTAACCTGTAAAATCGAGGTATGTGCCAATGTCCTTTAATTCTATGAGGTAAATTACTGGGCTTACACCAGAAATTAGATTAGCATGACTTTCAACTATAACACTAATCATAGGTTTAGAAAATGTATTTAACCTTTCCTAGCCTCTTTCCCACTTGAATAATGCCCAACTCTCAGAGTTGTAAAGATTAAATGATAAAATATGTGCGTATCACTCATCATGGTACCTGGATAATTTTGTTGCCTTACTACCCAGCCTCCTTCATTCTTCTGGTGCTTATAATGCTAGTCAAAGAATGTATAGGTCATAGGTAAATGCAATAGTACATTAAAATTTCTTCCCCACCTACATGCTCAATTGCCCTATTCTTCAAATATTCTTAGTTTATCTATCTAATTCATTGCCTGGTAATCTACCCAATGCAACTTAGAGAATGAGAATATATGTAAAACATTAGAAAAGTAACTATGCTATTGTAAGAACTCATTAAATGGTAATTGACTATCATCATTATTAAAGCAGTTTTTTTTCTGTTATGTGTTTGAGGTTTTCATATTTATTAAGGGAAAGCAATAAAGATTTTAGGAAAAAGATTATAAGCTTGTGCTTAAATCCAGGTAGGAATATGAGTTATAAGAAGTTTATTACTGATAGGAATAAACCAGAAGTTAATGTTTTTTTTTCTGTCAAAATCATTATATCAAATCAGTGAGATTTAACAACTACCCTGGGGATGTATTTAGAGCTTGAAAAAAAGGTTGACAGTCCTGAAATGTGTTTAATGTTGCAGAATATTGATCTTCATGCACTGACTGGGTGGATACCAGAAAGGATTGCTATGCATTCAGATAGCCAGACTTTCAGTAAGGATAATTCTTTCCGAATGCTTTATCAAAGGTAAACATTTCTCTCTCTCGCTCGCTCTCTCTCTCTTCATAGTAAAAGGTTGTTTTGAAACTTCATACCTTATTTAGAATAGATATTACAGAGACTGCCATTTTCCATTATTAGGGAAATTGTGTTTTTAGTTGACTTCACTTACGTACTTGCTACAACCAGCCCTCAATTATCCTCACTGATAGATATACAGTTAACCCGGGTTATAGATAGTCTAAAACATTTGAATCTGGAATATCTTAATATGGGAAAAATTTTTACTTCCTTAATACTTACCAATTTGAGGGAAGGTGGGAAAAGAGAAGTCTGAGAACATTGAGAGGAAGTTAACTGAAGCCTTAAATGATATGTAGGGGAGGGAGTGGCTGTTGCTCTTCAGTTCATTTCATAGAATCTAGGGCAGCGGATAGATACAGCCCCCTTTACTTCAAAACGCATTGGTAACATATAGGGACTGGAAAACTATCTATAAATAATACACATTCATTAGTGAAACTAAAAAACTCAATGATTTGATAATGAATATTACTTTGGAGGAAGTGCATTTGGCATTTTATGTCTTCTTTATTTGTAAATCATTTGAAAATTTAGCATTTGTTTCTTTCCTTCATTGATAGCTTTCTACCTGAGAATTAAGTTGTCTAAAACTGGGTAGGGGATGTGATAATTTATCTCACATAAATTAGGCTGTGAAATGGAAGTATAATTCTTGTTAAAGTCCTTCAGGGGGTGTTGGGATTAGCTTATTTTTTAAAAGATTTTAAATTTGTGGAAATTTTCATGGGAACCATTAGACAAAAGGAAAGATGATGTGATCTGAGATTATAAATGTTTTTCCTTTAATCTTTGTCTATTGGGGTGATTCCAGGTTTCACAAAGGGGATGTCCTCATCACTGCATCAACTGGAATGATGACTGAAGCTGAAGGAGAAAAGTGGGGTCTGGTTCCCACACATGCATATGCTGTTTTGGATATTAGAGAGTTCAAGGTTTTACCTTAAATATTTTTCTATTTTTCTTGTTTGTTAATAAGACATTACAAGGATCCCAAATAATATATTGGACTTTAGAATACTGACAAATCAAGGTTTAGGCAAAGTTTTAAAAGCGTTTCACCTATTACATTAAACAACTTGATCTGTCTTTGGGAATTATAAAAAGATGGGAAATGTAATGACAGTGACAACATAGATATTGGTGACAGCAGAAATACTATATGCCTCTTCCTCTTTTCCATGCAAGTAGAAGAGTTGAGGTGAATACACGCCCCCAAGGTTTTGGGCAGCACATTGGTGTTGGCGTCAATCAGTGTTAGACTCTAGAGCAGCAGTCGCCAACCGGTGGTCCGTGAGGTCCGAAAGGTTGGCGACCGCTGCTCTAGAGCATAGTAGACATTCGGTACATACTTGAGAAAGGACACCAAAAATAAGGTACCTGTGATGAAGAAACATGCCAGTGGGTTTGCAAGTGTTTCTTTCTCTTCCTGGTAGCCATTGTATGCTTTCAGACCTCTCAGACCCTTTCTCTGTGTTCAGGTGTTGAAATGGTTGACTTCATTATTTTTCAGATTATTGATTATTTTTAACTGAAAAATGGATCTGTCCTATAGATTAGAAAATACAAAGATTTTTAAGGAAGGATTTTTTTTCCCTAATGACTTGGTACCTAAGCTGTCTAGTCACTGGGAGGTTTAGCTAACAGTGTCTTTCAATTTCCCCTGCTTAAATTTATAGAAAGAATCAGTGATCAATCAACAATAACCACTGTGTATTAATAAGACTGATTTTTGCCCTGGCCGGTTTGGCTCAGTGGATAGAGCATCAGCCTGCAGACTCAAGGGTCCCGGGTTCGATTTCGGTCAAGGGCATGTACCTTGGTTGCGGGCACATACCCAGTGGGGAGTGTGCAGGAGGCAGCTGATCGATGTTTCTCTCTCATCGATGTTTCTAACTCTCCTTTCCCTCTCCCTTCTTCTCTGTAAAAAATCAATAAAATATATATATATATATAAAAAAACTGATTTTCTTAGTGGCCTGTGGAATTACATGAATTATGAAGGCTACAACATTTAAAAATTTATAGTTTCAAGGCTTTCTAAATCAGCCAGTTTTTGTAGAACTGTCTTCCTTTAAACATGACATAAAAATTGACTACTTAAAGAAAAAAAATAAGATTTTATATGAATTGGATAAACTGAGAGGTTTGTTTATGGCAAATTACATTCTAAAACAAACACAAGCAAAATATTGGGAATAAAAGTCGCTATTAATATGTGTATATATATTATTGTTAGAACATTTTTTGAGGTAGGTATAGGTGACCAATATTGAGGTAGTGGCACAAGATTTAAATTTTAGATAATGAAGCAGGCAATATGAAAGTAAGTTTGAGTTTGAGGAAAATTTCTGAGATATAATTTACTTTGAATAATAAAACTATTTGTTATGAATGATCAAAGGAAACTAAACAAATAACATGATTATGAGAATAATAGGCACCTCTGGTCTGACTTGAAAATAAAGCATTTCAAAATCCCTGACTGCCAGTAAAATAAGAATTTCAAATAACAGCCTTTTAAAGTTAAAAATCACACAGTATCAATTCTGCATGGCAGTTATTCTGTAAAGATTGAGGCTCTTTAGAACATGTGTAGATGGAGTAAGCTGTGGCCTGGTGACAGGTTTCTTCACTCTTTTCTTCACTGCTTCGGTCTTCACAGAGATAATCAGTAGAGGAAGAAGCTAAAGAGGATCTGAAAGGAAAGAGTTCAAAGGGATCAGAGAGGGCCTTCCAGGAAATGGAAACGACATGAACAAATGCCTTTAGAGGTGAAATTGAATAAGAATTATTTATGGGATTCTGAGAGGAAAGACTAGACTAGACAAAGATATGTGGGGTATGAAAATGGTGGGGCCAGTGTAGAGTAGGCTCTGAAAGAACAGGAAATACTTGATGCTCTAAGGCAGCACTGCCTGCAATGAAAATGTTCTCTGTGCTGTGCCATTCTTTAGCTACTAGCTACATGTGGTTCTTGAATACTTAAAATGTGGCTAGTGTGACTAGGAACTGATTTTTAAATTCTGTTTAATTTCATTTTAAGTAGTCACTACCATATGAACTGCATAGCTCTAGGGATAGGTAGCCAATTGCAGTTCTTGATCAGATGTGTGACGTGTGAAAGTGTTAAAGAATATTAATTTCAAATTTATTTGAAGAAAATTGATACGTATTCAAAATGCATCCTCCCTTAGAGAATGATACAATTTATGAAAATATGGTAAAAACTGTTTTGCAACTTTATGTTATCTCCTGGTTTTGTTTTGTTTTTTGGTTTCTTTTTAATAGGGGCTGCGATTTATCCAGTTGAAAAATCCCTGGAGTCATTTACGTTGGAAAGGACGATATAGTGAAAATGATGTAAAAAACTGGACCCCAGAGTTGCAAAAATATTTAAACTTTGATCCTAGAACAGCTCAAAAAATAGACAATGGTAAATACATCTTTTTGTAATTTTAATACTATTTGATCTCTAAATAATATGCTTTAATAATGTGAAATGTGTTTAACTGACAAGTCACTTATCATTAAGATATTTTTAGATTAATAAAGATATCTAATTTTTAGGAATATTTTGGATCTCATGGGATGATCTCTGCCAATATTATGATGTGATTTATTTGAGTTGGAATCCAGGTCTTTTTAAAGAATCAACATGTATACACAGGTAACTTCTTTGCATATTTCAGAATATGCTTTAAAGTAGTCGTCACATTTTTTATTTAAAATAAAATGATTAATTTAGGAAGACTAGTATTCTCTCTTTGTCATTCCCCAGAATGACTAACATGTAATAGTTATTTTCTTTATATATGCTTCTTAGTCATGCCAGAAACTGTGAAAACTAAACCTAGTAACTTAATTATATCTGAAACACAACACTTCATTATTTCCTTCTTTGTTGACTTGATCTTTTAGTACTTGGGATGCTAAGCAAGGACCTGTGAAAGATGCCTATAGCCTGGCCAACAATCCCCAGTACAAGTTGGAGGTGCAGTGTCCACAAGGGGGCGCTGCAGTTTGGGTTTTGCTTAGTAGACACATAACAGACAAGGTACTGATACCCTTATGATTTTCCATATAGAAACTCCTTTAAAAATAATTAGACTATTGTGAACAAAATATGTAATTTAATCATCAGCCTGTTTTATTTATATGGGTGGCTTGAAAATGGTATTTTCTTAGATAAATGAATATTTTCCTCTAAGGAAATTTATCATTTGTAATCAGACTCTTAGAAGTTTTATTCAAAGATCATCTCTGAAGAGCCCTAGCTGATTTGGCTCAGTGGATAGAGTGTCAGCCTGCTGACTGAAAGGTCCCAGGTTTGATTCCGGTCAAGGGCACATGCCCGGGTTGCAGCTCGATCCCCTGTAGGAGGTGTGCAGGAATCAGCTGATCAGTGGTTCTCTCTCATCGTTGATGTTTCTCTCTCCCTCTCTCTGAAATCAATAAAAATGTATCTTTTAAAAAAATCATCTCTGAAGAAAAACATGAGGGAGTTTATGCTGTTAGTTAGGATTTTCATGTTGATTATATATGCTTTGGGTCTTTAAAATATTAAATTAAAATGTGTTATAGGGGGAGTTGGAAATTTGAATCATTAGGCCTGATTCTGTAAAGGGTAACCATATTTTAATAGCTTTAGAGTCTTTTAATACATTTTTTTCATACAATATGGTCAGTCTATTGGAATGACAATTTAATCCAGAAAAATAATTATTTTAATCGCACAAAGTAGCTGAAATAAATTCTTTTAAAATTAGAGGTCCCCCCCCCCCCCCATTAAGAGCATTTGAGCCCATTTCCTTAACCATATTGGATTCTTTGTGCTTTTAGGATGATTTTGCAAATAATCGAGAATTTATCACAATGGTTGTATACAAGACTGATGGGAAAAAGGTGTATTATCCAGGTATGTTTAGTAGGCAAACATTCAAACAAACATTAAATTTTTATTGATATGATTAAGTAGAAAATTACATTTTATGGAGGTAATGTACAGAAAAAATTATGCTGATAGATTAATAGAAACTACTCAAATAGATGGTTATTTATGCTACATGTGTTTTGTTTTCATTTGTTTTTAATAGAGTCCTCAGAAATTTGGGAGTTCACATTGCTGTAAGAGTTTTATTTCTAAAACTTAAGTCATATCTTCTTTGTCTGATCAAAAATTCTATGGTTTTCCATAGACTCTTGGATAAAATCCGAGCTCTTTATCCTGGTGTATAATTCTGGCCTTAACTTTACTGTCACCCTTTATCTCATGCACCCTCCTTTCACAGTACCCTCATTGAGGTACTCCTCCTGAACGCATTGCGCCCTTGTTGCACAGGCATTTGAAGAGAGCACTGTATAAAATCATCTATGGAGAGGGTTGTAGGTACAGAGATGATCACCCAGGACCTGACCCTTGAATTCTGTCATCCTAAGATTAAGCAAAGGCAAAGTTACCACAAAGAATTTGAACAGAGTACCTGATGAAATAGTAAGGTTTCATATAATACAAGAGAAGAAAATATTTCATGAGGGAAAGAGTGGCCACTACATCAATTAATGAGAAGAGACATTGGAATTAGCATCATGGCACTCATTGTTGATCTTGACAGGAACAGACTTGGAAGAGAAATAGTGTGGTTTGAGAAAAGACTGTGAAGTAAGGGGCAATTGTTGACTGTTCTTTCAAGAAGGTTGTGCGAAGAAACGGGCAGTGTTGGGGGAGATGGGATCAGAAGTTGAGGTTTGTTTTGCTTAATCAGAGAAGAACATGGCATTCTGCCCCATCACACTGTGTGTGTCATGGCATTGATATTAGCAGTCAGTATCCCTAGATATTCTTGAATGGGCATGGAATATAGTACGCCAATGATAAATGTGTGGTTAAACCAGCCAAATTTTCCATTTTCACATGTTGGTCATTATACAGCCCAAAAAATGTTGTGAATATGTTCCTAGTGTTACAATGTTACACTGCTTTTGAATTTCAAATATATGTTACCCTTTTTACTTGGATCTGTTTTAACCCTTTGCAGTCCAATGTTATTTTTGGAATTCAGACAATCTGGTCCAAATTAATTGACGGGATTGGATGTTGAACTTTTTAATGTTCTTATTGCTCGACATTGGACCTGCTCCTAGCGCCTGGTCTGTCGAGTCAGCCTGGAGGTTGGACCGAAAAGGGTTAACAATGCTCCCTCTCTTCCACATATAGTGATTTTTGCCTTTGCAAGGTATTCCTAGTTCGTAATTTTATTTTTATCATACCACTCAGATCATAAAACAGGCCTTACTGTTCCCCTTTTGACAGAAGAGTAAACAGATATAGGAAGTTTAAAACCTTGTCCAAGATCAGAGATAATGCCCATTCTTTTCCTCTTCACACTTGATTACACACCTCTAAGCATTAGAAACCTATTACCTGTTTGAGATTCTAAAATGTTTTTCTGCCCTAGGCGGTTTGGCTCAGTGGAAGGAGCATTGGCCTGCGGACTGAAGGGTCCCGGGTTCGATTCCGGTCAAGGGCACATACCTCAGTTGCAGGGGTTGCAGGTTCCTGGCCCTGGTTAGGATGTTTGCGGGAGGCAGCCAATCAATGTGCCTCACATCGGGGTTTCTCTCTCCCTCCCTCCCTCCCTCCCTCCCTCTCCCTTTCCCTCTTCCTCTCCCCCTCCCCCTTCCACTCTAAAAAGTGAATGAAAAAATATCCTCAGATGAGGATTTAAAATAAAATGTTTTTCTAATAGATCACATTATAAATAGTCAGTGTTCCCAAGTAAACCAAGTGATATAGCACTGATCTAAAATGACCTATGGTAATGCACATATATGAAATGATTTTATGTCAGCTTTGATTGATGAGATTAATAAAAGTATGTATCAGGCAGCATTGTAATAGCAAACTATTGGAAATAATCTGAATATTCAGATTGTCTGGATAACTAGAAGTGGGTATAGATAAAATGTGTTATAGTCATACAATAGGATATTATAGAGGCAGTTTTAAAAGAAAGAAACCATATCTAGAACAGCATGGATTTCAAAAACATGTTGAGTGAAAAATAAAGATATAAAAACAAGGCATACAATCCTTTTTTAAATATATGCTCACAGATAACAATTACCTATTCATTCCTTTGGCGGGGGGCGGGGGGGCAGGGGGAGGTGGGTGTTAAAGTTTGAAAAGATGTCCACCAACTCCCTCAGAGTGGAATGGAATAAGACTAAGGGTGGTGGTTTAAAGGGACTTTGTTTTATAAGAAAGCTAATATAGAAAAATTTTTTAATTCTGAGTAGTGGGGAATATAGACACATTTTTCATTACTTCTTTGTATCTTTTTTAAAATTTTCTCTAAAGAAAATAAGCAAATCCTGAAGGAAAGCAGCATAGGGCAGAGAGCAGGGATTATCCTATATATCATTGAATGTATTCTAAAAGATTGCTTTATTAGAAACATTAATTTTCAAGTTTCAAATTTATTTATAAAGTTTTTAATTGAAATTGTAATTCTTTAGTAACATTATATTTAGAGATAGAATCAATTAAGGGGATGTCCATTCATTTAAGTATTTTTCCTACCATCAACCATAAAACTTAAATTTAAGTCTCCTTACTGTAAACCCACTGGTTTATTGCAGCTGACCCGCCCCCCTACATTGATGGGATTCGAATTAACAGCCCTCATTATTTGACTAAGATAAAGCTGACCACACCTGGGACCCATACCTTTACATTAGTGGTTTCTCAGTATGAAAAACAGAATACAATCCATTACACAGTCCGGGTAAGTAAACCAACATACAGTGACAAAACAATAATATAAAGTATATTATGTGCTCTGCTTTGTAAGTGGGATTATCTACAGAAAAAGTTTATGAAAATTTATGTATTTTTATGTATATGTGTATTTTTTATGTGTTTATATGTGTATCAATTCAATATTAAATTATGATGTTTCCTGTATAAAATGCTTTTGAAAAGTAATCTTTTAATTTTGCATAACATTTTCAATGAGCATTTTTTTTCCAGAGTAATAGTTTGTTTGGTCCTGAGGTAACGTGGTACATTGGACTAATAAATTTACAGAGCAAGCAATAGAAACTCCTTTAGCCTACATAATACCTTTGCTGACTTGAAAAAGAAGATGCTGAATTTAGTGGAAGGGAATCGATTGCCTATAAACATTGCTCTTACAAGTTGGGAAGATCATTGTAATTTTGTTCTGCATAGATTTGTATGCCAAAGATCAGTAAAGAAATTCACTTAGAATAGATTTTTTTGTGATGAAAGGGACATTGGGGAGCTGCCTTCACTCTTCAGATGCAGAAGACAAGCCCTACAGAAATTGTGATTTGGCCTGAGTCACACACAGTGCCAGAGAAAGTGAATACCAGATCCCCTAGCTTCATTAAACCAGTCTTGATTCCAGGCTGCCCACAGAATATGACTTTTATATGTGTCAACTAATTTATTAGACTTCCAATATATTCTTTTCTCACTTTGGTATTTTTATAAGTATAAACTTGATCAGTACAAGAATTTTTTTTTTTTTTAATCTAGGTATATTCAGCATGCAGCTTTACTTTTTCAAAGATTCCTTCACCGTACACCTTATCAAAGCAGGTAAGAGAAATGTCTCTGGGTCATGATCTCAGAGAAATCTTATAATTCCCTTTTTCTCTTTTTCTGTTTTCATTCTTCACATTTAACAATTTCTTACAAAATAAAATAGTCCAGAGCTTGAAAGGAATAAGGGAAATGTAAATAGCCTCTATCCAATCTGAGTTGGAATACAAGATCTTCAGTAAGCAACATTGATTCTGTGAGCAGAAATAAGAAATTGAAAGATTACTATAAACCTTTGTCATTAGGGAAAGCCATGTGGATGAACCTCATAAATTGAGGGTTGACTTTACAGGGTGGGCTAGATGTGTAGAGGATGTGAGGGAGAGTTATTGGCAGGGAGAACAACTTGATTTAAAGCTGAAAGATGGAGATAGTGCTTAGTGTAGCAAAGTAGGCTGGCTGGAATGAAGAGTGACGTTGACTGTCACTGTAGGTGACAAAGACTGGGGGGAGAGGGTGGGGCCAGAGTGGGGAGTTGCCATCTTTGAGGAGATGGGGGGGCGGTTGTGAAGGAGTTTTCTCTTTAACATAGAATTGGAGAATGTGAAGTTTTGTTAATGCACAGACTTTGTTTTGTTAGATTCATGGAAAGTGGAGTGGTCAGAGTGCTGGAGGATGTGCAAATTTCCAAGAGACTCATAAAAATAATCCCATTTACCAATTCCATATAGAAAAGACTGGACCATTACTAATTGAACTTAGAGGACCAAGGTTTGTGATGAGTAATTTTCTTAATGTTATATTAAAAATGAGCTTAGTAGAACAGAATAGGGTTTTGAAACAGACCTATGCATATATGAATGTTTGATTTATGTTAAAGATGCTATTGCGTAAGGGTGGGAAAAGGATACTCTGTTCAATAAATGGTGCTGAAGGGTGGGAAAAGGATACTCTGTTCAATAAATGGTGCTGAAATAATTTGAGTATCCATGTATCAAAATTGGTAATTAAGATCCCTGTCTAATTTCAGATCGCAAAATCAGTTCCAGGTGGATTACTATAGGAGATACCTCAATAAAAATATTTTTATATGTGCTACATTAGTGGAAAAAAGTCTAGTTTTTTTAAAATGAAAACTTGAACAGGCATGTCATAAAAAAGATAATCCAAATGGCCAGTAAACCATTGTAAGCCAAAAATTTGAAACAACCCAGATGTATATCAGTGGCACCTAAGATTATAAAATAGTCATAAAATAGTCCTACATAACAATGAAAATAAATTATAGCTACCCACTACATGATGGATAAGTTTTAAAAATAATGCTGAAAAACAGAAGCCAAACATAACAATATATATATTACGTGATTCCACTTACATGAAGTCAAGAACAGGCAAAATTAAACTGTTATTTAAGGATGCATACTTTGATAGTCACACTATATACAAAGCAAGAAAGTGATTGAAAGTTTTGTGGGCACAGGCATTGTGATGAGAAAGGTGGATACAAGGGACTTCTGTGGTGCTGAGAGGTTCTGTTGATTTAGGTGGTGTTTGTTCACTTTACAAACTATGTCGTAATATATTTTACAATTTTAAAAGTTTTAAAAACTAGAGAATACAAATTAAAAAATAGTACTAAATAAAACTAGGCTTAATTGTGCCTGCTTTACAAATTCAAAAGAAACTAATTCTAATAGGACTAAGCTACTTTGCACAATCATTTTAAAAACCTTTACCAGTCTTCTAAGTGATATAAGGTATGTATCTAATTACCCTTATGTATTTAATTTCTAGATAGATTGAACATGTAAAAATACTTGACAATGTGTATTTTTTCCTATTTTGCTAATTCATGTCTTGCCCATTTTTCTGTTGGAGTTGTCATGTTTTTCATAGGGTATGTCTGTAAGAACATTAACTCCTTCATATATTTGCAAGTATTTTTCCCAGATAAATTTAATAGAAAAAAAAACATTTTAAAGTAATCAGTCTTGTTTATTTTGCTGTGGGCAGGAAATCTCACCCAAATAGTAAGTTAATTTTCACTGTATTTTCTTCTGGTTCTTTTTATGATTTTTATTTTTTACATTATACTTTTAATCCATGTGGAATGTATTTTTATATTTGGTGTGAGATACAGTTCAATTTTTTATCACCTCATCACCACCTAAATATTACTTCCTTTCCATACTGATTTGGAATGCCATGTCTACCATATGCTAATTACTTTCTTAAATTGAGATTTTTTTTCAGGGTCTTCTCTCCTGTCCCACTTGTTCTGCCTAATACAATGACAGTATTTTTATCATTTCAATTTAACATTATTATCTGGGAGCCTATAGTAAAATGTAGTCTATTCTAAAGTAAGTTTAATGTATTAATCTTTATGGCTGCAATTTTAAAACAGAAATGGTATTTTCTATAATTAGTGTAAAAATAGTACACATGTGTTTCAGTGTAGGAAGCTTCCTCCTGAAGCTTTGGAAAGCCTGTACTTGACTTCAATAGTACATCTGCACTTTAGGTATGCTTACTTTTAGGCCTGTATTTGAGACTACTTAGCAGTAATTCTGTTTCTTTTTACTGCCAGGCAGTATAGTGTTGGATTTGAAGTTGTAACAGTGTCTGTGGTGGGAGACCCTGGTCCCCATGGCTTTCAGAGGAAATCTAGTGGTGACTACAGGTAAGGTTGGCGTTTTGATTATATTTGATTTCTACTTTGCTTATTGTGGCATCATCTTCTGTAAGCCTTGTTTTTATTTTCCCTAAATACAGGTGTGGGTTTTGCTACCTGGAATTAGAAAATATACCTGCTGGGATTTACAATATCATTCCCAGTACATTTTTGCCTAAACAAGATGGACCTTTTTTCTTGGACTTTAATAGTGTTATTCCCATCAAGACAACACAGCTTCAGTGATGGGGAAATGGCTGCACTTACTGGATTTTATACTTACCAAACAATCCACTCTTCAAATGAAGACACAAATCTGCAGGACACTAAACAGTAAGAACAGAATTAATTCTCTAAAAATGTTACAATGGAATCCGGTGCTCAAGTCAGAGTGCTTAGTGAGAATTGTATATAGACAGAATTGCCATAAATTACTTTAGAAGTACCACTTACATGGTTCTGTGTGTCTGTGAATTGGCTTGCATTTAAAAGGAGCCACAGTGTATTTAAAAAGTGCAGATGATTAAAGTTTATACTCAATCACACTGTGATATGATTTTGCTAAGAGGGAACTGAGACCAGATGAGAGGGACATAGACTCATTGAATGGAATGGTAGGCTGGTATAATCTGAACTATTTACATTGTCTTTCTGGCAGAGCATGTTGTAAGGTAAAACCTGCTTGTATTGTGACTCTACTGTGCATCTTGGGCAACTAATTACCAAATGAATTATAGTCACCATTACAGATTTTAATTCTGCATTATTTATGACTTTAAATGTTTGTTGCCCAGATGTTATGAGAGAATAAAGCTTTAAGAAGTACTAATTAGCTTAGCATGAAGATGCTCATGCTTAAGAGTGAAGGTTGTTAAAGTTAGTACCTGTCTCCCATTGAATCATGTAAAGAGAACTGAAGTATATATATTCGCTGTTGCAGTCATTTTTTATCAGGTTAACGAAAGTAGTAGTCTGAGACATTGAAGACATCACTGTTTAGTTGGTACTTTTTAATTGCTCTCTAGTTGAGTGCTTTTAATGGTAACAGCACTGTGGAGAAAATACAATTGAGAATTTAATATATTTTAATTGGGATTGCATTTGGAGAAATTGCCAAGATACCAATGTCTTGTGTGTAAATTCCCAGTTGTTTACATAAAAATCCATCAGAGCAGAATGATGCTCAAGATTTTAAAGATCTGAAAATAAGGTGGTATTTTACATCATCTCTTATAATTATCAAACTTATTTTGTATTTGATACCTTTAATTGAAATAAAATGTTTATACTTATGGAAACTGTGTAGTTTAACCTAGAGAAATTGATTAGTAGAGGACTTCATCAAGTATGTTCCATGTAAAAGATTAAAGAACTCATTATTTGCTTGAAAATTCATACTTCAAAAAAATCTGTTCTTTATCATTCAGGACAGGGGTAGATTATTATACTAGTGAGAATTCTCTTTGGTAAATAAGTAATTTCCTATGTCCTTTATTATAAACATATATATAATTTGAACTTCTTGTGTTAAAAAATCTTCCAGGATGCAAACTGAATTAAGTTCTAATCTCTGCCCTTAAAAATCTAATGGAGGAGACCTGTTTATGAGCAAGTTAATGTATTGTAATGTTGAATTCTATAAGAGAGCTCCAAACACAGTGCTACAGGTGTATAAGGAAGGGAAATTATTCATTTTGGCTAGACCAAATAGAATAGAATCAGCTGGGGAGCTTTTAAAAACCCAATGCCCAAGCATACCCCAACAATTAAATCAATCTCTAGGGCTCAGACCAGAGAAGTATTTAAGCTTTGTAGGAGATCCTAATGTGCAGCAGAAGTTGAGAACCACTTTTCCAATATAACCACCTTGTCCCTAATTGCTCATAATTGTAGTAGCAAAAGTAGAATTCGAATTCAAACCTTGGTAAATGGGGGCTTAAATTATTAAGAACAGATGACCACGGCATCCCATGCTCTTCCTATGGCAAGAAATTTGCCTAGAATAGAAGGTTTAGACAAGATAAGGATTTCTCATTTGAAGTCATAGAAAGTTGTCATTTTCTTAAGTGGTTTTTATTACACTCAAGGTATTAAGACAAGTACAAAATAACCTTGTAATTAAGATACTGTATTAGTCATTAAAAAAGAAGAAAACACTACAGTATGAAGAGATTTACAAATGACTAAAACATACAAGTTGTGACAATTAACAAACAACTTGAAATGGGGTTGCTCTTTTCCTTTTAAAACAAATAAAATACAGTGCTCTTAAATATGTGTAGCCTTGAAAACATTAAAGAAAAGCAGTCTTAACTTACTATTAGAATAACAGACTCCATTGCATCTATTTAACAGCCTTTGCCAACACATGCCTACTCCCTTTCCTAGCTTTAAGAGACAGTTTCCTCTAAGAAATACTAGTGTAGCATAACCCTTAAATAATTTTTAAAGTTACAACCTACAGAGAAAGTAACACCTTGTCAATCTAGAATAACAGTGGCAACCATTTTCACATGCACTTCTCTTAGAATAAGTCCCCTTGGCTGGTAGGATAAGGTTTATGCTATAGAACCTTTTCTTCCCCAACCACAAATCTCTTTCTATGATATGTCCTTGCTACCCTCACCTCCCCGGCCCCCCATCCCAACATTGGCATTCACCTTTCCCACCCCAAAAAGTGCAGTTCATGGTAACCTTTATAGAAAATGGTGTTAATGGGTGTTTTAACATACATACTTTTTTTTAAAGTCCCTTTCGAACATCAGAGATGATAAAAAATGAATTATGTTCTTGGATTTTTTTAAGCCTTCACTGGGTCAAAAAGGTATGTTCTGAATATATGAATTTTGTCTTGCGTTCTGTTTTCATTTAGATGCCCTAAGATATAAAAGGAGAGAACATCTCTATTTTCCCAACTGGGGGTGAGAGAAGCAAGCTGTTGACCCCAGCTGGGCTCAGCTTCCCAGCCCCTTTCTTGCTCGGGTTCTTTTGTGAGAACTAGTTATTGCTTCCATAACACTGTTACAGTTAATGTTCCACAAAGACTGCCCTGGTCACAGCCCACCTGCAGCAACAACTCTGCTCTGAAAACAAACCAGCCCAAGAGCTCTTACCAGAGGAAGAATCTTCAGCCTTAAGGTCTCTGAAACCTCACTGGTGCAGTTCAGAGTAAACACTTACGATTTGGCATATATTAAAGGGTTATTGGCACAATGTTCTCCAATCAGTTTCTCATATAAATAGTGGTGTGCACTGGGGCCAGGATCTTGGTTGGATCAGCCTATCTGCACCATTTTTATGTCAGCAATAATCCCATCTCGTCCCTTTGCGCACTGGAGGGAGAGCTGCTTCATCCTGTTTGCCAAGGTCTGGCCCTCAGGGGAGGTGCTGCTCTGGCTCTTGCCACCATCACTGCTGCTGTTGCTAAGACTCCGATTGTTGTTGGCTTTGTCACTTGTTTTATTCTCTGCCCCTTCTGCTCTGTCTCCTATAGAAATGTAAAGATTAAGTGAGTGTTGACAATTCCAAGAGTCACTTAGGCCCAAACTAATCAGCCAACTTAACCCTCTAGAATTTCCCAGTGTTGCCCAACACATACATGTAACAGAGGGTTCTCCATCATATAGCTGCTTTTATTCCTCAGAGCGTTTTCTATTTTCCTTATTTTTAGAGATGAAAATTGTCATATTCGTTTAATAGCTGGGAAACAGAAACCTCTAGCATGTGCTTGTCAAGAGGACTTTTGTGATGAGAGACAGAACCCACGCTATGGAGCCGGAAGCCCCCAGAACAGGACTTGGAAACTATCTCAGTGATAAACACCGACAGCACATTCACACAGCCCTGGGGGCTCCAAGACCTGGTCACGGTCTAGAACAAGGTCTAGGACAGTGCAGAGATCTGGCTGCAAAGGCAGAGTCACCCGGGACAGCACTACCGGTGAGAGGGCTGCAACTCACCTCGTTCCACCTCACACTCCGGGGAGGAGGCCCCACTGCATTCACTGCGAGGGCCTAATACTGGGAACATCACTCCAAACTCTGATAGGGACACGGGGCTGGGAAGATCCAGGCTGCCGGGCCTCACAACTGCAGAAAACTGGTCGGCCATCCCAGATGGGCTCATGGGTCCTGAACTAAAGCTGGACACAGACTGGGTCTCCGAGTCATCTTCAGACACAAAGTTGCTGCAGTTGTCATCTTCAAAGGCCTCGGAGGCCACTAGGATGAGAGAGAACACCAGTCACACAGGTTCTGATAGCAGCCTAACTCCTTAAACACCTCCAGAAGCGTTTGCTGCTGCAGACAGCTAGACACCGCATGGGGACTGCAGAATCCCTGCCACTGTGGGTGCCTAACAAAAGCAACGTGACCCTCCCCAGCACCCTCCCCAGCATGCACGACCAGACCAGTGCAGCTAAAGGGAAGTGGCTGGCAGCTGGATCCCATGCATGTTCAGTGTCCTTGTGTGCCCTACAAGTTAGTGTCCGTAGACACTGCCTAAAGGTAGAAGATGAATTCAGCCACAGATCAGGGACTTTTCTCCACTCCAGTTCCCCCTCCCCCCCAAATCCACACTTGCACAGGAAGAGGGCTGGCCCTTTGTAAAGGATCCCCAACAAAGCCAGTCAGACATCAAGACTTTCCTCCACAACAGAAGCAGGAGCTGCTGGGAGAAACAGCCCTGCTTGGAATACCTGCTGGGACCTTTGCTGTCTTCCAGGTGACTTCTGATCTCAAAAGACGCACTCAGAGCCTACCTAGGTCACAGTTTGCTGCAGAAGAAAATTCCTTCCCAGTGCTCTGTAATTTCACTTTTAGACCAGAATAACCAAGGCCCAGAGACATGTCATTGTCATGGTTCAAAAGCCACTTCAGCCTTTAGCTAGTTCCCTCTGCCTGCACATAATCCTGCTTATTAGATTTTTCCTCTCCTCCCCTTTCTTCCTCCTTCATCTTTAAAAACAGCCTTGTAGCATCCCACAGATGATTACCATAAATGAGAAATACTGAAATGTTGGGGGCAAAATGGACTCAAATCTGATTCCCAATCCTCTTTCCACTATTGGTTGTATAGCCTTGGTCAAGTTACTTAACCTCTCTAAGCTTCACATTCCTCTCTCTAGAGGGTAAATGAGATGATGCATATCAAATCCTCATATTGTTGATTCTCAGATTATAGTTTCCTCTTCCTTTACTTGGGCCCGGCACTTGAACATTTGTTGGGAAAGGAGCCTGGGAAAGAGCCACTAGGGACCATTGCACAGAAAAGGAAGAGGAATTGTGCAAAGACAGTGTTGGAGAGTTTTCATGGTTAACATAAAGGGAGCCACATCAAACCTCTAATACCAGTTTTCCTGGAAAAGGGCTCTCTACGGCCAGACACCAGTGACAGCCACCACTGTGGAATGTTAATTTCATTTAATCCTTACCACCACTCTACAGTAGAGAGTAGGTACTACCATACTCCCCATTCTGCAGCTGAAGAAACAGATATAAATCCTTGCCTGCATCATGTGCTAGTAATGATGGGAAGGTGAGGATTTGAATCAAACCTAATTCCAGAGCCCTGTTCTGGCTCTTTCCTGCAGTGCTTCTCAGACCCTTGTATGTTGTAGTATGCACTTTGAACCTCAGAGAGGAGTGAACATATGACATTTTCCCAAACTTACTTGACCATAGAATCCTGATTTTGAGGAACGCTCAGTAGCAACTTGATGAACACAGCGTTCCACAAAATGTGGTATGTCACCAGAATTAGCCCTCAGTCCTGCCCAAGTGAGGCCCTTCTGTGATGGTGAAGACAACCCCGGAAACCGACCACACAACTTGCATACGAGCCCCCGACTCACCAGAAACAGCATCTGGCTCGGGTTTGCTCTCTGACAGGTCCTCTGCAGATGTGCTGCTGCCCTCAGCCCCCACGCCGCAGCCCCGAGGCCCCATGGCGCTGGAGCGCCGCCGCTCGTGTATCTCGTCCGAGATCATCTCCAGGTTCTTCAGGGCCGTCTTGTACTCGCCTTTTGCCAGGGCCAGTTTGGCCTGCAGGTCGTCCACAGTCTTCTTTAGTTGCTGGTCAGGAGAACAGGAGGCTCAGTAAGTGAAGGCTGCCCCTGCTGGCCTTGGGATGCTTTTGAATGACAGGTCCACACGTGCCCATCACTCCACTCCAAAACATGACTGAGGATCTGATTATTCTTATCAAAGCTGTCCATGTACCAGATATAAAAGCAGCCACTACCACTTCCAACTCCCATCTGGGTAACAAACAAGCTCCATATCCAAAAACTACCACTGGCAGAACAAACCCAATCAGGGAAACAACAGTGGGTGTCAAATTCACACAGAAGTCCCACATTCTAGCCATTTGGTCCCCAGCACTGTGGTTCTCCCTCTTGAATCAGAATACCTTGTTAAAGCTCACATGGCTGGGCTCCATTCACAGTGGGCGGTGGGGAACGACTTAGCCATTTGTACTACTAACAAGTTCCCAAGCGATGCTGGTCCTAGGAGCATACTGAGAACCACTGCCCAGTACAATATAGAAAGTGACTAATCAGCAGATATAGAGAATGTCAGAGACCACGCAAGACCATTTAGAGGCCTGAAAACTCAGTAAGACTCTCCACTCTCCTCTTGGAGCAAATGAGGTATTTGAAAGTATCACAAAAAGTGGGGCTTTGCATAAAAATCCCATCACCAACAAAACCAAAGGCCACACATACCTCAAGCTGCATGTAGTACTTTGCCTTGAGTTCAAAATAAGGCCTGTGAAAGACAGAAAAAACAAGAGTAATATAACAATGAAACTCCATGAGGTGTATGAGGCTAGGTCGTCCTTCCAGGATTTAGTAAACTGACAAGGCCACGAGCTGAAGGTGGTGCTTCCAGCTCTGGGGCCTGATGGATACAGATGCACTGGGCTCACTCAAGATTTGGGGAATCCACACATGTACACAGATCCTGGAGCCCCTGCATCCTGGTTCACTTTCCTCTCAGGGGAGGTCACAGATTGTGCCCTGCAGCTAATGTGGCCGATCTCTTCTAAGGAGGTGCGCTTCCCAGGGATGACCAGCAGATAAGGCTGGAGAAGGGGCTGCCTCAAACACCCTCTTTGAAAAGCTGGGTAAGGGGGAAGCACCGGTCTTCCCCCGACAACACAGCAGAGCCACTGGAAGGACGGGCTCAGGTTGGTCCCCTTGGGCTTTGTCCAGGATAGAAGTATGAGATGGTCTACAGACCCAACCAGGTCATGGGCAAGAGCAAGAACAAGAAATGCAAACATTATACTAGTCCCTTGGGCTCTTGGTCAGCCAGAAGACCCTGGCTCTTTTTAGTGACTCTGGCGCCTGAGCATGAGGTGTAGACCAATACTTTACTCTTGATTTGTTCACCTGCCATGAAGCTCTGGGGCTGTCTTTGGCTGTTGGGTCTAGGCCAGTGGTCGGCAAACTCATTAGTCAACAGAGCCAAATAACAGTACAATGATTAAAATTTCTTTTGAGAGCCAAATTTTTTAAACAAACTATATAGGTAGGTACATTGTTATTAACTTAATTAGGGTACTCCTAAGGCTTAGGAAGAGCCACACTCAAGGGGCCAAAAAGCTGCATGACAGCTCATCTCCACTCTACTGACAGATAAACAGGCCCAGCCAATGGGCCATGGAATGGTTGCTTTTGAAATTCCTTTTTCTGTGTTCCCCAGGAGCGGCCCCCAACTCAGCATTTGTCCCTCTGGGATAGGAAGCCTGGGCAAGAGGTTCTGGTGAGGCAGGTCCCTGAGTGCAAGGCACATAAAAGGTTGAGAAGATTCGGAAGAAGAGAACACCATATGGCCTCGGACCCTTATACCCAGACTCACTTGGATTTGTTGATGGCTCTCTTAAGTTTCTTCTCCAGCTGCCGCATGCGGCCCATGGCCGCGTTGTACCTGGCTGCCGTCTCCTTGTGCACCAGCTCGCTCCTTGTCTTGGTGTGCTCTGCCTCCATGACCTTCAAACAACAGAAGAGGTCAACCCAGCCAAGCCCAGAACAGTCCCTTGTTGGGGTATATCATTTTTCTAAAATATCCTTTGAGTAAATTAATGGGCAGGCTGAATTTAACTTCCAACGAGAATAGGATTACTTCATCCTATTTTTTCTATTTTGGAAAAGTCTTTGTCAGGTAGGACTAAATAGCCAAATTGGCTGTGGCAATGACCAAGAAAGAAAACAAGGAAAAACAAAAATACAATAAAAATGAAGCATTCTCTGATTCAATCAACATCCACTTCCTTCTGCTCAGGCCTTCCTGGGTCTAATAGCTTGAGTTCCTGCTTCCACCTTGGGGCAGGCAAATGGGCAAATAGCACCCGTGGGATCTTAGACATCAAAGAACTGGGATACCTAGCAAAGCAGGCATGACAGCATCAGGACAAGGCAATTATCCTTGTTGTCCAGGATAATTATGAAGTGTCAGGAAAATGTATGAAAGACTGAAGTGAGCATAAAAAGTTACTGGGTGTCCTGTCTAGCACACCCTCCCAGGTCATCTCTGGCTTTCATTGTCCTGGAGCTATTTTATGACCCTGTTAAGTTATAGAAAATGGATAGTAATACAGATTATTCTTATTCCTAGAAATGAAGATGAATTCTGTCCTAGTGGAGGTGCATCTGATAATATTGATTACCCTGTAAATATTTACCAATTTTGCATCAGTTTATAAATTTGTTTCTGCATCCCTGGTTTTCTACATGAATGTGTGTTTGTTGAATTCTTCTTTGAAATAGTTGTAACATCTTACTAGTTCCCTCCTTAGTTAATGAATTAAAACCTTTGACACAGAAACATTTTATATTAGAGTTATGCTTTTACTTTCTTTAAAATATCTTTTAACAAAGTCAATGCTTGAGATACTTTTTAAAACAATAGAATTAAAACAAAGCCAGAGAAGGGAACTGAGCTAAGCTAACATGCAGTGACATCCTTGCTAAAACCAAGACCAAAGGGCTAGGAGAATCCTTTCTCTTTGCTTCTAACACCAACGATTTCACAAAGAAATAAGATGCACTAAAAACATCCCGTACTTGGACACACTCTTGTCTTATATCTTAGGCACTCAGGATTTACTGGTGTAACCTTAATGAGAACTCAAAACCCAAGCTTATCAGACAGAACACAACATACTGGGGGTGAGCTGTTCCATTACAAAAGATTTCAATGCAGGGTTCACCTTTAAGGAACTAAGTATTTTAAATTGACATAGAAAAGCTATGATTGGGAGCACAGGGTTTCCTGTACAGTAAAAGCAGGGTTCTCACCAGCTGCACACAGTGCCCTTGTCTATTTCAGCCCTTAATCTAAAGGCTTTTTCTAAAATTAATCACTCAGAACATTCCAAGCCCTTGGAAATATTACCAGTGAAGACTGAGGTGGCAGCAGCATGTCGCTGGCCCTTGCTTCACCCCCATCAGACCACATCACCCACGTCCTGTCCCAATCTCCCCCGCCCCGCACACACAGCCTCAGCGCTCAGAAGAGACCCCTCCAGCCCCAACTCAGCCTCCAGGGAGAAAGTCACCAAGCATGACACCTTGGTGAATCTCCTAGGTAACCAAGGAAGCCCTCCCTCGGGCATGGAGTAGGGCATGAGCTGTGTGCTGCAAAGGGTGGGGGAAGAAAGATAGATAAGCGAGGAGGGTGGCACGGGAAGGCTCTCCTATGAAAATTGCAGCCACGGGGAACAGAGACACACAAGGAATCAGATAACAAAGCAGTTCCTTCAGGCCTCAGGCACCAGCAGGCTGCGCTGAGCCGGGCACGTGCAACTCACCATGGCCAGGTCTCCCAGGGCCACCCTTGCCCCCTTGAAGCCCAGGCTGACAGGGAACCCGCCTCCATCTCTGTACCACACTCTTCAGTTTTACCACCATCACATTCAGTTCAGAGCTGCACACACCGACTACGCAGAGACCACCCCCTGGGCAGCCAACCTCTCCAGGTGTGCGCACGCCAGTAACCCTGGCCATCATTCCAGGCAGAGTGGGATCGGACTGCAGGATGGCTGTGGCGGCTCGGGGGGCTTGCCAGCAGGGCTGCCCTTGAGAGGGGCCTTCAGTGTGTGACATTTGGGATAACGGATGCGAGGGGAGGAAGCACTCGGGCTGAAGTGGGCTTTGCGCAGGCTGCCCTGCCGTCCGTCCTTGCATCCTGCCACAGCCCATTGCCCCCTTTACCATCTCCACCGGAGGAGCATTCAGGTGGGAGGAGGGGCGGGGCACGCTCGGCGTCCCACCTCCTTTCTCAGAGCCCGAAGGCTCCCGAAGGAAGTAACTGTCCAACGTGCAGAGTCTTGGCCTCCTTCCCGATGGTTTAGTACTTTCTCAACCCAGAGGAGACCCTGTCCTGGGGATGACCCACAGGTTCTCTCTTCCCTTCTGGTTGCATCTGTCTCAGCCTGCTGGGCTAAGAGGTCAGGCACTCCTGGGGTTCCCAAAACCTACACACCCTCTGGGCCTGCCCCAGCACTGATCACCGCCAGTGCCCAGTGGACCTGAGCAGTCAGAACTGGTACTGGTCGAGCCTCCAGAACACCTGTAGCCTAAAGCCCTGGGCAGGCAAGAGGGCAGCGGGCACTGGAGAAAAAGGCCTGCTGAGGGTGGGGGGGAAAAAAGGACATTTATGTAATACCCTTTGTAATACTTTTAGCGGAAAAAAAAAAAAAAAGATAAGGGCATGGAACCCCAGAAGATTCAGAAAAGGGATTGGTTAGGAAGAGGGTCCAGCACAAGCCTGTGAAGAATTAGGAAGAAGATTGTTTAGTTTGGAAGAAAGCTACATCTTCCCAAACCCAAAGAAATATAAAGAAAGCTTAACAAAGGCCGGAGGCTCATTTCTTCCTATAGTAACCATGAGGGCTGAAGTGCATTTACCAATCTGGCCTGAGTGCAGCCAGGAGCAGAGACTATGCTGAACTACTGGAGTCCAGGGTGATGGCTGTATAGTTCTGGATCCTGACCTTCCTGGTGGAAACTTGTGTTTACCAGGGCCAGGGCCTCTGCAGTGAGACAGAGCTGATCCACCTGGTCGTGGATGAGACATCGGACATCTGAGGGCAGTCCTTTGTTTTCACTTCAATAAATCTTACCACTATGTCTCAAAAAAAAAACAAAGAAAAAGGCCTGCTGGGCTGGCTCCCTCCTAGGAGCCCCAGGGCAGATAGGCACCTGGGACCCCAAGGCCCCAGAGAGCCTGTCACAGTCGCCCAAAAGAGATCCTCAAACAGCTGGGGCCTTCCTGCCTGAATTCCCACAGACACTGAGCAGTGTGCCAGCGGGCTGGGCACAGCCTCCTCGCCGGGTCCCATGCCAGCAGGATGGCCTGAACTGACCAGTAGACATCAGCCTAGCACGGCTCCTCATGTTCCAGCCTTCCCCTCTCCAAACCCCGAGACCTTCCACCTTGCTTACATCCCCAATATCCCGGGTGTAATCTCCCCCAACATCCTGTCTCAAAGACCAGCATCCTCTCCCCGGGGAAGGCAGCTTTCTTGTTTCCTCAGAACCTTGGCTCATCCAGGCTGTTTTCTGATTCTTATTACACCCGTGGGTGAGGGGGCGCCCAGAAGGTGGCTTCTCTCCACCATATGGGAGGGGGCGGTACGTACCCACCAGCGTCAGGAAAGCTGGCCTGGACAGCTCCCCAGGTGCCATCCAGGCCTCAGTTCCAACGCGCCCAGGCCACCTGCCCGCCAGGACCGGGAGGGGAGGCTGACTGCGGCCTTCCCTCTGCAGCAGCTGCCAGTTCATAAACACGCCCTGCCTCCCCATTTCCAAGCCACACTTTCCTCCTCTACACCGAGTGGCCAGGTTATTATGACCACCCCATCAGTACTTCATTGACACTTCCAAAAATACTGAATACTGAAAACTTCCTAAGCAAATACTCTCAAGGTTTTAAGGTTTTATTGTTATTATTTGCATAACCAATTCACTTCATTGTACTGATGGGGTGGTCATGGCCACTCAGTGTATTTCTACCTGGTCTCTTCTGGCAGAACATCAGAAAAGCCAATCCTCCCTCCCAGATGCCAGGCCTCCTCTCCCAGAGGGTGAAAGGCTATCACCTTCCCATAAAGATGCTTCAAGGCCCAAAGAGACCAAGCTAGAGGGGCTGCTGCTGCCCAAGGCCCCAGGTAGTGAGCAGCAATAGTAGCCACTCCAGTGGCCACTGCTGCTTGCAGCTACCCAGGCCCTCCTGAGCCCAGCACTGAGCAGAGAACTGTTCCTGGTCCATCTGTGGCATTGCATGTGGCCTCCCAGAGAACATGAGGGCTCCTGGCTCACAGTCTCCCAGCACGCTGGCTTCAGCCATGGCTCCAAGTGTGGCTGCTCAATATCACCATACGTCTGAGGGGTACAAAGGGGACACACTGATGGCCTCAGGCAAGGAACGTGGGGACCCCAGCGTTCTCCCACCGTGCCTGGGGTGGGGATCATGTAGCCCAAACCACTGCCAATCCCTCAAGGCAGCCCTGGACCTGAGTCTGGATCTTTCTCTAGACCCTTGATTAATACTTTCTGTAGAAGAGGGTGACACGACGCTCCCTTCTCCTAAAGAAACAGGCTCCCCAGAGTATCCACAGGTCAGACAAGGCAGGAGACATATTCCAGACCCTTCGTGGTCTCCATCAAGCACTATTCGGCAAGCCGAGCGTGCCAGGCCCCCAAAGCTCTGGGAGTAGGCGGCAGAAGCTCCAGGTGGGAAGATGCTAAACCCAGAGGGAGGCTTGCAGCCAAGCCACACACAGAGTAGCTGCCTGTCCTTCAGATTCAGGGAGCACAGCCCCTGTAGGCTGAGTTTCTCCGTGACCCAGGGGTGCGGCCGGGCAAAGCTTTGCCACCAGCTCTGTCTCTTGCTGGAGTCAGTTGCAAACTCTCTCTCTCCCTCAGCAGTTCAAGGAGTAGCATTTCAGGCCTGTGCCCCTGGGAAGGAATCTGGGAAGAGGACCAGCAGCCCAGGGGGAAACCCTGGCCTGTGACCCAGGCACCTGTTCGCCTGCAGTGGTTACCCCCACAACCAAGGAACCCTCAGTGGCCGCAGGAGGACACACATCAGGAGCCCTACGTACCAGGGGCGGCCAGAGAAGTCTGGTCCAGCCCCACAAGTCGCTCACTGCGCCATCTCAAGAAGCACCATTCCCACGGGGGATGGAGATTTGTAATATGGTTGTCCTAGAGACACCTCCTTGTGGTACCAGCCACTCACCATCCACTGGGGCCCCGGGACTTACTAAGGAAAAAAAAAGGCAGAAACATGTTTTGTTCTTTTTTTTAAAGAGCAGATCAAGTGATTTCTGAAACAGTTTCTTCTGGCTAGTTTGAATCTTCGGTGGGGGTGGAGAAAGGGCAAGAAGGAAAGGCGAGCCCTGGCCCGTTTGGCTCAGTGGATAGAGTGTCGGCCTGCGGACTGATGGGTCCCAGGTTCAATTCCAGTCAAGGGCACAGGCCTGGGATGTGGGCTCAATCCCCAGTGTGGGGTGTGCAGGAAGCAGCTGATCAATGATTCTCTCTCATTGATGTTTCTATCTCTCTCCCTCTCCGTTCCTCTCTGAAATCAATAAAAATATTTTTTAAAAAAAGAAAAAGAAGGAAAGGTGACCTCCAGCAAATATCTTAGAAGGAGAGGGGCGGGGGGAGAAAGAGAAAGAAGAGAGAGAGAAGAGAAAGAGAGAGAGAGAAAGAAGAGAGAGAGAAGAGAGGGGGGGGGGGAGAGGAGAGAGAGTCCATTTCGCATCTTTCAGGCTGTGGCTTGTAAATTTCCAAGATTTCCAACCTCGGCTTTGGGTTTTCATCAGCTGACCCAAGAAAGTTCCAGCCTGTGTTTGGCTCTCTGAGCATCATGTCCACTAGGGGGCAGGAGGCCCAAGGCTACACAGGCCCAGCCAGCTTTTATTTAAGGAAACACAAGGCCATCTTTAATTATCAGGTCCCCCTGGACTTGAACCACTGTGACAAGTGACACTGAAAAGGGAGAGGCTGCTGGCATGAACTCCTGGCTTTTTCTATTCCTGCCCTGTGACGCTCAGAGAGGAATTTTAGGCCACATGCCTGGGAGCCTGTTTCCTCTGCTTGGGGAAACAGCACACGCAGAACTCACCAGAAGCAGGGGCCAGTCTGCATCGGACAGACAAGAAATAATGTGAGAGACGCCCCCACACACACCCACGGGCACACAGACGCTGACAGACAGGGACACCCAGGTCACCCTCCCCCGGCACACAGGGCTATGACTCACCCTCTGGGTGGCGTGATTCAGCATCTCCTGCCAGGCCGAGTCGAACTGCCGCTTGTCGTCCTCGAGCAGCCGCTGCTCGGCCAGGGAGATGGTCTCCTTGGCGGCGCGGAGCACCTCCGTGGCCCTCTGGAAGTCCTGCGTGGCTTTCTGCGCTTCCAGCTGAGCCTGGTGAGAAAGGACCCTCGTGAGCCCTCGGGAAATGGCAGGGCTCCTGCTGGCCCATCACAGCCTCCCAAAGAGGAGGCTGGGAACAGGCCTGGCCCCCGCAGGTCCTTGTCAATGCCGGCTGGGTCGGCGAATGGACAATTTTCACAGCCCAGAACCCCACAGACCAGATAAACATGCCACGTTCCGGTCATAGTCAGAGATGGCAAGCCAGCCCCTCGGATGACAGGCATGGCCACCCGTGCGTGGCCTGTCATAGAGTTCTCATTTGCTAATGATGCCAAGGGAGATGCCGTGGTCCCCAACCCCATCCCCACCCAGATCCGGGGCTCAATTCACAGCAAGTCAGAGCAGAAAGTTCCCCAGAGGATCACACACCTAGGGCTCCGTTCTACAGGTTGGAACCGTGGTGAGAGACACGGGCCTTCCCAGGCTCACAAAGCTGGTGAGAAGCAGAGCTGTGACCAGACCCTGTGAGTCCCACCCAGTGCTGTCACTCAGCCAGACAGGCCCCCACCCAATTCACACCCACTTTCCGGGAATGTCACGTGGAAGAATCAACAGACAAGGCAGCCGACCACGCTGGGCTACCACCAGCCACCTGTGGCTTCAAGCATTAGAAATGTCTTCAATCCAAACTGAGCGTAAAACACCCAAATGGTGAAGACCTGTTGCTACAAAAACAGAATAACCACCGCCTTCCTAACCATGTGGATTCCATGATGAAATGACAATGTTTTGGATACACTGGGTTAAACAAAATAAAGTATACTGTTTCTATTTACTTTTTTTTTTAACCGGGGATACCAGAAAGTGTGAAATGACATAGTTGACTCTCATTCTGTTTTTTGTAGACTAGCTATGCCTCTTCAAGAGAGGACCATGTGATCGCATCGGAAATCAACAACACACCCTTGGGTCCCCATTCTCACAGGCAGAACATGGGCAAGACATTGCCAAACGCTGCCCCGCTCCGTCAACCAGATCTGCATGTCAGTTACATAACTTTAGGAGATACCCACAGGGCTGTCCCTGGGACTGCGAAGGGGAACAACGGGGCTCCCACAAATCGTCAAAGTCTCACATGACTTAGAGGAAGTCTTCAGAGACCACAGGCTGAGGACACTTTTCGAGATGGTTACGTGGAGCCCATCAGCCCCAGGCAAGGAACAGCTTTGTGACCCCCTGGGTGCCACACTCCCTCACGCACTGAACACAGACTGGGCACCACACCTGCCCTTCCAGGCACTGGCAATGTGGTCAGGGAGCTGACACCCCGCCATAACGAGGTGCCATGGGACGGAGGGAAACGTGTAGTGAGGGGATGTGAAGGGGAACCTTTCCAGTAGAGGAACCGAGGGGACTTCCTTCAAGGAGGATGGTCCTGAACTAGGACTGAAGATGAGGATGATTTGAAAATGGGGGTGGGAGGACCGAAGAGGAAACAGAGTGTCTGTAGGAGACTTGACAAAGCAATTTCAGAAAGGAACCAGGAGGGAAGACCCTGAATGAATGCCAAGCTATAGCTTCCACCAGTGGCCCAGAGACCTGCCTGCTGTGGACACCTGTGTGCCCTGGACCACACATCCACGCAGGTGGCCTCAGCCACACGGTGGGGACAAGGGGCCTGCTCTCCACAGAACTGACCAACCCACTGAGGAGTGACAAGACAGGGCGATGTTCTGCAACACAACTCACGGCTCCAGACCCCGTGCCTCCGGGCCCATCCATGGTTCTCCCCCATGGGGGCAGCCCTCCTGGGGCCCTCCATTCACCCAGATGTGATGGGGGAAGGAGGGAGCATGGGGACCCATCACTGAAGAGCTGCCCCCACCCTGCACCACCAACTGCCTACAGGCTCAAACCAACACCAGCCACAATGATGCATTCCACAGGATTCTAGCATTTTCTAAGAAGGGATTTGAATGTGTTCTTAAGGAAATTTTAGTATTTCAGTTCATCGACATTCAGTTCATCCCCAGGTCTCCCTGCTTGAATTACGAAACTCTTCTTTCCTCAAGTAAAAAAAGATATGCCCTCGTGGGGACCTTCAGAAGCGTGGCTTGAAGAAGCAGCCCTGTAGGTTGCTTGGTGGGAAAAAAAAGAAGAAGAAGCGTGGCTGCCGTGCCCAGGCCAGCACCTCCTCGCCCACTGCCATGCCTCTGATGAGCTCAAGTGAGGGAACCAAGTCTCTACAAAGTGGGGAGAGAGGAAGCCCAGCTACAGGGGCCTTGCAGAACATGCTCTTCAAGTTCCTACTGAATTTACGAAGTTTCCAAAGGTTCCTTCCTTCCTGCATGGTGGTGTCAGAATTATGCTGATCTTGTCATAGTGTGAATACTACTAATATGAAGGTTCGGTCTGCACTGAACCCACAGACACTCCCATCACTTACCTACTTATTCATTCAAGTAAGTGTTGGGCATGTGTTATGCACCACTGTCCATTCTCTGCATCCTCCTTGGTAACAGGAATGTCTCCGGGTGAGGCAGTGTCCCTGCTGAAGACCCATTTCCCAGCTGTCACTCAGCTAGTGCCCCTGTCCCTTTCAGCTAATGAGATATAAATGAACGCGGAGCGGGACTTCCAGGAGGGCCCCTTTGTCTCTCCATGTGGGATATGAATACAATGGCCGGTGCTTCAACAGCTATTTCGGACCATGAGGTAACTCTCTTAAGGATGGAAAACAGTAAGTTAGGCCTCTGCCCTTGACTGCCTATCTCCTGACTTTTTACATGACAGAAAAAAAATAAGTCTCATGCTTAAGCCAGTGTTGTTTGGGGGTTTTCTGTTCTATTCCGCCAAACCTAAACCTAAATGATAACACTTCTTCCCTCTACACAGCTGGGCTGTTCTGCAAACCTGATAGAAGTGACTGCAGCAGCCGGTGCAGACTGGTCAAATCCTGGCCACAGAAACTCAGGCGGCATCCAAGAGTCTAACCGAGGAGGACTCAGCTCCGAGACTGCGTCCCAGGGTCAAAGTGGACACACAGCCCTGACAATCAGAGGCCAACTGAGCAATCCCCCGAAGAGCTGGCTGTCTGGTTCTCCCCTTCTTGTGAAAGATGGTGCCCAGAAATCTTTGGCGCAACCAGCCAGGTGTTACCTTCTGACTCTAACAAAGGGCCCAGCCCTCGTAGGAATACATTATTTGAATAAGGGCCTCCACGCACATGCACAGGCTCCCTGGTAATGAGCCCACTCGCAGCAGAGAAGCCCAGTTAGCAACCTGAAGGGCTGGGGCTCCGCTGAGAACAGTACCAAAGAGGTTGAGCTGTAAGACACAACCCAGGAAAAATCCTAAATATCCTCATGACTCATGGACACTAATGGCTTTCATGGAAACAGCTCTACGGAGAGAATGTTAAGAGGCTGCCCATGAATGAATTTGATAAGCGACCTTCTTTAGCCACTGGCCCAGGCCAGCTGTGACTGTGAGGCACTCGGAAACACGTGGGTGTCCCATCCAGTGTCGTCAAGGGGGTGGGGGTGGGGGTAAGAGAGGTCTGCCTTTGTCCAGGCTGCCAGATGGGAAGGACTGCGGTCACGGCCATCTGACTCAACTTCCACTCCAACCCACAATCGGTGTCAGGAAGGAACAAGAGCATCTAGACATTTGCAACAAAGGTTCAACATAGAAGGAAGTTTAATCCCTTCGTTTGTTAAAGAAGGGCCCAGAGAGGCAAGGCAATGTGCTGAATGCCACACAGCTACTTGGGGGCTGGCCAAAGCCAGGGAACCAGAGCCCCTGACCCCCAGTTGGGCTATTTCCGCTCTACCGTGGTGCGGTGCCTGCCGGCCTGGGTCACTCTGGCAATGACATAACCAGGGGATGAGTGGGTTGCTGCCTCCCACCTGTGACTCAGGTGGCACTGAGCCTCCTACGGTGTCACTAGCACACCAGCCAGTTAGCTGCGGAAACGGAAAAGGAGATGGGGTCTGGTCACTTGGCTGCCCAAAGCCCCCCCCGAGCTGGGGGCTCCAGGTCCCAGAGAGCACCCACAGGACGAGACACAGTTAATGCCTGACTACTAACCGACCGTAAATGTGGACACAGATGGTCACAAAGAAAATCACAGCAGCTACTGCTGGAGTATTTATTCTGAGTCAGATCCTGTATCTAAGGTGTTCTGAGTACAGTGCCTCGTTTAAATCTCAAAGTTACCCTCTGAGGTCAGTCCAATGATCATCCCTACTTTCTGAAAGGTTAAATGCATTGCCCAAGATCACCCAGCCACCAAAGGTGGGGCCAAGATCCAAACCCTGACCCAGAGCTTCCTGCTAAACTTCTATCAATTACCACCTGCTGGGGCCACAAACTCCTGGCGAAGAGGCACTGGTCAAGCTATGTTCGCTCTCACCTCTTCACCTAACGAAGGCCACACTGGCCACTGTTAAATGGGGGGGGTGGGGGGGGTCGCAGGGAGAAAAGAAAAGATGCCACTACCAAGGAGAGCATGGGGTTCTCTCCACAGAGGAGGGTGGACGGAGGGGGCTCCTGTAAGAGCTGAGCTCAGTCCGTCAGGAGCCAGGGAGCGGAGTGGGGTCGACGCTGGTCCTGCGTGCTCTCTGAGCCCAACCTCCCGTCCACCCAGCACTGTTTCCTCATCTGCTTGTGGATCAATGGCCCCCACTCACAGGGGAGTGAGGAGGCTGAATGAGACACAGGGAGGCAGGGGCCACATTCCTCCATCCCATTCAGGGCACAGGCCCAAGGGAGAGCTTCCCCACTTGTTGGCACCTGAAACCCAGAGGCATTCTCTGGCTTACTCAGGAAGGAGTGAGCTCAATTTGCATGCACTCCCAGTGCTTGATGGGAACAATTATGGAGCAACAGAGGCTTCCAGAAACCCCTGGACACTAGTGCATGAAACGGAAGATGGGACTACCCGCCTCCCTTATAAAGAGAACCAGAAAGTCACCAGCCTGGGGTGAAGCGGAAGCTGCCCCGAGTGAGGTCAGCAGTGGCCCTTCCTTCCACTTCCACATACACGTACA